GGACTCAGACCCTCTGATATGTGACTGCAGTGTTTAAGTCTTGATAGTGGCCTCTGTGTGGGAACCCATTGACTGGATGGCAATGGGCCTCATTCATCCCTTCTGCGTGTCAGAGGTGGGTGCAGGGAATTGCACTGGCCAATGTGAAATCAACTCCTACAAGGTAGACAAGTAATGGGTAGAAGGGAATGGAGAGATCGTGGAGGGAGAAGGGGAGGAAGAAGTAGTTAGCTAGTGGGGGTGTCTGCTGATTTCTAGAAAGAGGTCCAGGGCAGAACCATAATTATAGATCTGTCCATGCATCTCTAAGAAAGCATAGGTCCACGATGCCTATGAAAGTCATCATATTTATACTGATTTAGCCTGGTCCACTGTGTGGTGTGGCTGAGCAGCTCATGACCTGAAATGAGATGCCTAGCTGATGGGCATTTGGGATTGAAATGGAGCTGATGCTGCCTGCTCACCATGCTGTGTAGCCCTAGTTCAGAGCTGTGTGAGCCCAAAGGATGGAGTGTCTTTTAAAATAATTCTTTTTATGATAGTCCTCCCAGCTGCGGTATCTTTATATAATTGTCATAAAGATCTAGTATGTTCTGGTGGCTAATCCAAAGCTACAATTCCACATTGCATACCCAGTTTGCTGTGATTCCACCTTTACAAAGTATTCCTCACTTCCTTCGTGTTAATTCAGTTCACTCCAATCTATTCTTCTATCTCACACATTGTGTTTTTCATATTTAGAAGTTCAAATTGGTTGTATTTTTATTTTCCATGTTTGCATTTAACATACTCATGCTTTCTTCTACTTTCATGAATATATGGAGTATATCCTTAATTGATAGTTTAATGATCATGTATGCCACTTGTATCATCTGTATCATTTTGGGGTCTGTTTCTATTGGTTGATTTTGTTTTTCATTATCTGTTGTGTTTTCCTGCTTCTGTGTGTCTGATAATTTTTGACTGAGTGTCAGGTATTATGAATTTTATCTTGTGTGCTATATTTTTACTTCTTTAAATGTTTTGGAGCTTTGTTCTGAGATCCATTTGCATTACTAGAAATAATTTAATCCTGTTAAGATTTGCTTTTAACTGTGTTAGACTGGACTGCTCTAGCCTTTATTATAAAGGTAATTTTTGAAAGATTTTTTAAAAGATTTATTTATTTATACAAGTACTAGGTACAGTCAGAAGCACGGGAGGGTGAGAGAATTCACCAGAGCCAGAATGGGGAGCAGAACAGGCAGACTGATGAAGTACACTGCAGAGGGGAGCAGCAGGCACAGCAGGAGAGGTCTGTCACACCATGTGGGACCCTCAGTGGTGACCAGAGATTGAACTGGCGCTGTAGAGACCGCAGGCAGCTTTGCAACCCAGCGCTCAATTGCTGCACCACCGGGGAGGCCCTATTATAAAGGTAATTTGACCTTACCTACTAAGCAACACTTTTCTCAGTACTACACCTGATGCCCCATGTAGATGAGATTTCTCTATTCTGACTTTTGAGAATGAAAGTTTCTAGTGTTAGGAACTTTTCTCCCTGTTCATTTCCAGAGGTCCTATTCCCAGTCTTGGATGTCTACCTACATTATACACAATTCAGTACTCTGATACACACTAGAAGAAGAATCTCCAAAGTCCCCTTGGTGAAGATCTCTACTCTTTTTTTTTTTTAAAGATTTATTTATTCATGCATAGAAGAACTGGGGTACAGCTAGAGGTGCAGGGGGTGAGAGCATTCACCAGAGACATAGTGGGGAACAGAAAAGGCAGATTGACTGAAATACACTTCTCTGAGGGGAGCAGCAGGCGAGGCAGGAGAGGTCTGCTGCACCATATGGGTCACCTCTCTGGCTGGGGATCGAACTTGTGCTACAGAGGTTGTAGATAACTTCACAATCCTGTGCTTAACCCCCTGCACCACCAGGGAGGCCCCAAGATCTCTACTCTTACCTGAAATCTCTAGCTCCTTTGGCTTCTCCAAACTTCCAGTTCTGTCCCTTCAATTCAAAGACACCACCTGGGATACCACTTCCTGATTTTGTTCTAGAAACTCAATTCAATCAGGGAGATGGCAGAATCAAGGAGCTCACTTTGCTTCCTCCTTGGCAGGAGTCCTACACCACCTGTAGTACAATGTCTGAAAACCATAGCTCCATATATTTTGTCTGATTTCTTAATTGCTTAAGGTGGGAGGAGAAATCTGGTCTTTGTTTTTCTATCTTGGCCAGAAACTAGAATGCCTCATATTAGCTTATAAAATAATTTTCTCTCATTCAAATATATATATTGCTTTCAACAGTTCAAAGCATCTTTTGTTTGTTTCTTTATTTTGGCAACAACCAGCTGACTTCAGCAGGACTGACATTTTACCCCCTTTTAAAGGTAGAGCATTCAAGGTACCTGCCTGAGAAGATTGTGCAGCCAGTGAGTAGCAGAGCTGAAATCCAGAACCCAAGCCTTCCAATATGTTCTTCCCTGCTGGGTCACCATGAATTTCTCTACCTCTTCAGGTCCCACATTAACTCACCTCCTCAGCGACCCGTCCCTGATTTTGCTGCCCTGATCACCAGCACAGCATTTATGATTTGGGATATTAAAAAATTTCCAAGAACCCTTCACAGGGGCTTAAGAAATATTTATTGAATGAGCAGAAAAGACAAGTTCCTAGATGCAAAAGCTCTTGGATCTCCAAAGGTCCAATACAGGGTTTTCTTGGACATATAATCTGGTATTTTTGCTGCCCCATTTGTGACATTCGGATTCTTTCTGTCACAAGTGACAGAAACCCCAACTTAAGTTGGTAAGAGGGTGAGAAAGAGAGAATTTATTTCTACCAGATGAAGCTGACTTCAGTCAACATTAACGCCAGCACTCTCTTCTCTGTGGTAGTTTTACCCTCAGATTCTCCTCCTGATGGACAAATATTGTTGCTGGCAGTTCTGAGATCATCTCTAAGGAAAAAGGACCTCTATTTATAATAGTCTCATGAAAGTTTCCAATTTTACCCATGTTAGACCAGCTGAGCTCACCTCTTCACCCTGAACAGATCACTGGCCAGGGGAAAGAATGTCTAGGATAAATGTCCACCTGTGGAATAAGCGAGGATGGGGTGTCAACCACCTTCACCACAAGGATGGAGAGTGGAGAATGAGTCCTTCTCTACAAGTCAGTTAAATATCCATTGCCAGACAAGAGGGAAGTGAGTTTGGGTGGGCAGATAGCCACTAAGTACTTAGGTTGGGTATGTGTTGGGGGATGGACATGGTCCCCACCTAAGCTTTCCTCTGATAAGGATTATCTTCGAGTGCTTCTTGAACTATGTTACCAAATAAGACCTCTTTGTGAAGACTCTTGAGGCCCAAGGAAAGGAAAGTGCCTAGAGGAGAAAGCATATTCCTGGAGAAACTGATGTCTGTTCCTGGAATCCTGGATGCCCACACATACTCATAGACCAACTAAAAAGTCATTTATTTAATCACCATTCTTGGAGGCTACAGCTCAGCATTAAGTGAGATAATAAAATGTTTGGGCATTCATTTATTCATAGTTGGTGTGCCAAGAGCCTGACACATACTAGGCACATGCTTAGGGCTGTGTTTGACTGGGTGAGCCTGGACAATAGCGCCCAATGGGAGAACAGACTGCAGGACTATATTGTAAATCTAGAAGTGAGGATGAGGCCAATGCAATAATCAGATCTTGTGTTCTTGGATGCTTGGACATATCCCTTGCTGCTACACAATGGTCTGCACTAGAGCAGACCTGGTGAGTGATAAAAGCAACAGGAATGGTTCAATTCCAGTTCTCAATGACCGGTTGCTCTGAGAACATCCTTCTCCACCACCACCTACTCCTCAAGTGCCAGAAAGAAAGATCCCCCAATTAAACTCTTCCCTCCCTCTTCCCATAGAATGTTGATCTCCTTTATGGCTTATTCCAAAATCTTCATTGTGATATTGGTGATAACAATTGATGATGAAGGTGAGGATGATGAAGAGGATGATGATAACAATATGGATACCATTTACCAAGTATGTATCACCTGACTCAATCCTCACTGCAATCCCAAAGTAAGCACATTATTACCCTCCCTTCACAGAAAAGGAAAATGAGGTATCAAGACCATCGAGTTGGGTTTTTACTAAAGAAATACAGCTGATATCTATATTTGGTTCCTGAATGCACATAGGTTGGACAAAGATGGAATTTTGAATCCAGATGGTCTCCTTGCATAGCTCTGCTTTTTACCTCATTGTATTACACCTATTGCACTACCTCTACCTAGGAGTACTGTGCAACACTTATATGAGATGGTGCATGTCTTTCCAAACAGCCCGAGTTCCTGGAGGAAAAAGCTGGTCTCCACTCCCATATGGCAGGGATGTTGTTCTGTACCTAGTGGGTATTTGGCACACTCTCCCTGAGTTGCAAGAGCAGCAACCTATACCCTGAGACAGAAATGGAGTTGTTTACAGCAAAGCCTCTCCTCTCTCAGATTCATCTTTTCCTGCATCGAGACTAATAGCTCATGTAAACAATATTAATCTTTTAGAATAGCTAGCTGCCTCAGCAGAGTGACTGTAAGGATCTCAGTCAGGATCTACGTGTGCAGGAGAGTTGGCTGCTGCAGCTTGGCCCAGCCTGGCCCTTCTGCAGCCTCATCCCATTTATCATCCAGTGAACTAGTGGTTTGTCACTGTGAGAAACACGCCTCTGTTTTTAGTATCAAGGTCTTGGGGAAGAAATCATAGACTCTCCCTGGGGTGAGCCACCCAGGGTGTGAACTGAGGACAACAGTCATAAATTCACAGGCCCTGAGTATGAAGGGTTAAACTATGGTTCAGTGACAGGAACCCAACTCAAGATGGCTCACACAAAGGGGTGGACTGTCTGGAGTAACTGATGGTCTCCAGAGGCTCAGGGGAAGGTGCTTCCTCTTTGTCTCTCTGCACCTCTCCCTGGCTCTCTTACTTCTTGGGTTCCCTCCAGGTACTCACCTCATCTCTCCTTCCACTCTAGGACCCTCTCTTTGCTGGTCAGGCAGAGCAGACATGCCCTCTCCAGCCCTAGACTCAACATCATGTAGTTCAGCGATGTTGGAAGAGTTCTTCTCCAGGCAGTATTGGAGGAAAAGGAAGTCCACAATGGGCTCTGACTGGCCCACTCTAAAACTCTGGATGCTGATGCTGTCCATGAGGAGGCAAAGGTGGGTTAGTGGGGTCTGTGTCAGATCCCCATCCTTCGGCTTGTGGGGGATGGTGTGATGGGATGGGCAGCCCCTCCAGAAGCTGGAAAAGGGGAGTTCACCAGTAGAAGCAGTTTGCTGTTGCAGGATGGAAGGGTTGTCCAGCAGATGTAAACATCGCTGTCCCTCGTGAGGATTCTGTGGGGAAGGTGCAGAACCGGTGGCCCAGTGGGGGGCCTTCAGGCGGGGGATGCTCCCCTTTTGTGTCTTTAGCAGAAGGACCTCTGGCTTCCTTTTCCTCTTCCCTCTCTGGTTGCTGCTAAGTCTGTAAAGAACCTGCCAGTTCCTAGCCAGGCCTTCAGTGTGAGAGTCGTCTCAGGAGCCAAGGTTTTTTTTTTTTAGGTAGGACCCTCGCCCAGCGGCTGGGGAAACAATTGGCGCTGCAGAGGCTGCTGACAGCCTCGCAGCCCAGCGCTCAACCGCTGCGCCACCAGGAGAGGCCCAATGGCACATATTAAAAAAACTAGCAACAACAAATGTTGGCGAGGGTGTGGAGAAAAAGGAACTCTCCTGCACTGCTGGTGGGAGTGCAAACTGGTCCAACCACTGTGGAAAGCTGTGTGGGGATTTCTTGACCTACTAAACATAGAGCTTCCATATGATCCAGCAATTCCACTCCTAGGTATTTACCCAAAGGACACAGAAACATCAATTCCAAAGAACACCTGCACCCCTATGTTTATAGCAGCACTGTTTACAATAGCTAAGCTTTGGAAACAACCCAAATGCCCAAAAATAGATGACTGGATCAAGAAGATGTGGTACATATACACCATGGAATATTACTCAGCATTCAAAAAAGATAAACACATGCAATTTGCAGCAACATGGATGGTGCTGGAAGGGATCATGCTCAGCGAAATAAGCCAAAAAGAAAAAGAAAAATACCGGATGGTCTCACTCATAGCAGGAATCTAGAAAACTTAAATAAGGGACCAGGAAAATGAATAACTATAAGAAAGTGAAAATCAAAATCAACAAAAAACTATGAACCAGAGACACTTTTAGGGGGGCAGGGGCGGGAGGGGAGGGATTGGGGTCAGAATGGGGGCGCTGCAATTGTATGGGGAATATAACAATAAAATTTATTATCTAAAAAAAAAAAAAAAAAAAAATAAAAACAAAAGCGGGGCCTCCCCGGTGGTGCAGCGGTTGAGCGCTGGGCTGCGAGGCTGCCCACAGACTCTGCAGCATCCGTTCCATCCCTGGCCTCTGGCGAGGGGCTCACTTGGCATGCAGACCTCTCCTGCCGTGCCTGCTGCTCCCCTCAGCAGTGTATTTCATCAGCCTGCCTGTTCTGCTCCCCGCTCTGGCTCTGGTGAATTCTCTCACCCTCCCACACTTCTGACTGTACCCAGCGCTTGTATAAATAAATAAATAAATCTCTAATAAATAAATAAATAAATAAAAATAAAAACAAAAGTGCTTGTTATCGAGATCTTGTGGATTCACTCACTGCTGGGGGAAATCTCTCACCTAGTCCCCTGCACACTTTGCCCAGTTCCCTCCGATGTAACACCTTGCAAAACTAGACAATAATATCACAACTGCAATATGGACATTTGTTAAAAAAAAAAAAGTTCCAAAAGTTTGACTTTTTTTAAGGGTTATTTTTTCCTACCTCCTCTCCTCGGAAGCAAGAATTCAAAGCTCACCACAAGAACCGGCACATAAAAAGTGCAGAGGAACTTGACTCTAGATTTCAAACAACTGACTCTTACTGTGGGAAATCTAGGATGCAGCTGGCTTACTAAGAACCTGGTGGTCACAGGAAGGATCTTGCCATTGAAAGTGAACACCAGAGCTTGACCCCTTTCCACGTGGTAGGAAGCCCTGGGTTTCTTAAACATTCTTCTCACCTTGGCGATGGATGGGCTATTGTTGCATATGGAACTCCCGGGACAAGGGGCTTCTCAATCAGCCCCTTTGGTGGACTTGAGAGTCTATGATTCGGTACAGAGGGCCACGCCCACCCTCCATTAACGCAGCCTGACACGGCAGGTGTCCCTCTACCCAGAGGCGATATTCAAAGTATTTAATAAGCTCCGAGGCCGGGAGGCCGTTGCACACAGGAGGGATGCCCCCAGCTGTCGGGCCGGAACCCTGCTCAGCCAGTGTTAAGCCTTCATTTACTGGGCAGTGTGGAGACCTGGGGCTCTCAGACGATGGGTCCCGGAGGGCACTTGGGGTAGTCGAGGCCGTCACTGTTCAAAAGGACGAAGGGATTATTTTAATGTCTTAACAACCAATCCAGTTCCACCCACGGCGAGAGGCTGCCCTGCTTGTCCCTCATGCCAAACACTCCTGACTGCTGGTTGTGACCCTGTTCACATCAGGGGCTGTTGTGCATCTCTGTCACCACAACCTCAGTGACTGACCATGGGAAGGTGCCCTGCGATGTATATGCAGGTGCCAGCAATTGGCCTTGCATCGCTTTTCTCCCTTCTCTGACTTCTTATGTAACATGGGCCAGACGAAAGCATAACTGTAAGGCGGAGCACAGCAGGATGCAGTGAGGGCTCAGCGTTGGAGGCCTGCCTTCCCTGGGCACCCCCCACCCTTCCTTTCTTGTCTTTTCCCATCTTTCTTTTTTTTTTTTTAATTTATTTATGCATACAAGAACCTGGGTACCAGCCAGAGGTGCCAGGGGTGGGAGGATTCACCAGAGACAGAGTGGGGAACAGAACAGGCAGACTGATGAAATACTCTGCTGAGGGGAGCAGCGGGCGAGACAGGAGAGGTCTGCTGCACCATGTGGGTATCTCCACGGCCGGCCAGGATGGAACCCGCGCTGCAGAGGCTGACGCTCATATTTCATTAGCAAACTATGCATTGTTCTAGGTGGTGGGGAAGGCGCAGTAAATCAGACAGACTAGATGCTTGCGCACATGGAGCTCACATTCTGGGAAAGCAGAGCATTTCAGAAGGTGCAGGAGCTACAGGGATGGCTGCACGGATGAAAGGAGCTTAGATTTAATGAGGACTTGTGAAGAGGAGGGGGGGTAAGAGGACCAGAAAATGGAAGTAATAGTAGAACAACTGGCTGGAGGTGGGAATATATCGCACGTGGGAAATATGGAAGCCTTGAAGGAGATACACACGTGAAATTGTCATGGTTCCAGGTTGCCACTCGTCACAGCCCCGGGAAGGAGACAGGCCTGCGGACATCATGAGACTAGTGAACAAGGTCAGGGGCTGCCTCACAAAGAAAATTCTGGAAATATTATGAGGAATGATGGGGAAGAGCAGCGCTGCTGGACAAAGGAGTGACAGGGAGACAGACGAGGTTGTACAGGTGAGAGATGTGGGCAGCTGGGCCAGCTCTGGCTGCAGGATGAAGAGTCAGGACAGGTATTCAGAAGCTACAGTGGGTCATCAGTGTAAGGAGGGGATGGTGAAGAGGAAGTTTGCATGACAGAAACGTCTAGCAGGGAAGATGGATTGAGCACTGATGACATAAACCAGGGTTGGTAACACTGAATGTGCCACCAGTTTTGAGGTAAGATAGGCAGCAGTGATGGGTGGTGGCAGAGGGCGGAGCTGAAGAGCAGCATCTTAGCCCTGTTGGCCTAGAGGTGCCCTCCGTCCCTCCTTGCAGTTCACGGTTACCTTGGCTGGGGAGCAGAGAGCCATATTCACCAGCCACAGAATCAATCCATTTGTGTCAGTGGGAGACCCACTGGCTCTGTCCTTCAAGAGCCCAATGATGCCCTCTGAGCAGTTTCAAGGGGGTGAAGTGCTTTGCCGATATCCCAAGCTGAGACGTTGTCCTCTAATTGGGGTCCATACGTCCTTCCTCTCCAGACTATCTCCACAAAGACCGGTATTTTATGCCAGCCTCGTCCTGATGTCCCCAATCTCCCGGCGCCAATTAATGTATCAGTGGGCCTGGGGAGTTTTCACCCAAGGTGTTACTTCTGCTGGGAACATCTGGAAACATCTTTAATTTTATTTGATTTCTTCTTTTTTCCTGAGGAATATCCTGAAGGGAGCAGATGGCAGTAAGAAAGGGCAGATCAATGCAGGGAAGCGGCCTGGTTTGCCCTTGGAGTCTCAGACTCCTGCTCTGTTTCCTGAGAGTTGTTGTTAGATGTCAGCTCCGGAGGCTATTTATTTGTGTCCCAAATATCCCCAGGGGAGTCGGAGCTTATTTGTTTGGCTTGTTGCAGCTATATTTCCAGTCAGGATTACACACTGCAAATGTTCCAGAGTGTTATTCATTTGTTTAGTAACTACTTATCGAGCGCCAACTACAGGTGAGGCACTGTTCTGGGCATTGGAGATTCAGCAGTGAATGAAACAAATCAAAGCGTGTGCCTTTATACAGCCTACTTTCTATCCTATTGCTGGCAGGTCATTGACCATCAAAGTTTTGATCCCTCCTCTCTGCGAGGCACGTGGGGGGTGAGCGGCTGCCCTCCCAGGGCATATGGCCAAGTGTCTCATCAGGTGTGCACATCAGTTAAGGTGCCTTGTTTACAAACCACGGGGAGAGATGCAGGTTGCTCTGGTCAAGAACATTTTATTGGAAAGCAATTGGGGGTGTTTGTCCACTTCCTGGACATCAGCACCCTGACTATGGACTATGTTCACAAAATTTACCAACCTTGATGCTGCTGAGCCTTTCATCTGCTGGTCCCCTAAGATGATAACGTGGCCCTATTATTTTCAGAAGGCTGTTATTTGCTACCACGGGCAACCTAACTGAAAGGTGCTGAAACAGGCTTAGAAAAGGGCAGGAACTTAAAAATTTGGGAAAAGCAACATCCTCATGACCAGAATTAATTACCCTTCTACCCAGAACACCTGAAATGGGAAAGTGAGGTTTTATCTATTAAAAATACAGTTGTAATTAAGGAAGAAAATTGGTTCTGGGAGACAAAATCGAACAGCTGCACATTATACTCTATAAAGTGAAAGATCGACAGTGCTCTGAGTGCCCTCTTTGGAGGCAAGTGGTGTGGTGGGGAGGAGGCTGGAATAAGAACCTGAGCTTAATCTGAAAACTGGTGAGCTGCTCTCCAGCCCTGTACCTTAACTTTTTGAATAGATGCATATAGGGCCTCCCTGGTTAAGCAAAGGTTTAAGCACCGCACTATGAAGGGGTCCGCAGCCTCTGCAGCATGAGTTCTATCTCCAATCCCCCAGTTGGCCAGGGAGCAACCCACATGGCGCAGCAGACCTCTCCTGACTTGCCCGCTGCTCCCCTCAGCAGTGCACTTCGGTCAATCTGCCTGTTCTGTTCCCCACTCTGTCTCTGGTGAATCCTCTCACCCCTCCCGCCCCACATCTCTGGCCTGTACCCCAGCTCTTGTATGCATAAATAAATAAATCTAAAAAAATAAATGCATATAAATGGAGTTATGTTATGCAACCTTCACAACTGACTTCTTTTACTCAAGTGAATGCCTTTGAGAGCCGTACTGTTGTATGCACCAATAAATAGTTCCTTTTCGTTGCTGAGTAGTATTTCATGGTGTGGCTGGACCAATGGTTCTTTATTCACCCTTTGAAGAATTTTTAGGTTTTTCCAGTTTTGGGTGATATAAATAAAGCTACTATAAACTTTCATATGCATGCCTTTGTCTGAAGACAAGGTTTTATTTCTCTAGAGTGAATACCTAGGAGAGGGATTATTGGGTCACATGGCAAGTGTATGCTTAACCTTATAAGAAACTGCCAAACTATTTTCTGGAGTGACTGTATTATTTTCTGCATTTCAGAGCAATGTTCCAGTTACTACATCCTTAGCAGCACTCCACTCGGTGTTACCAGGGTTTATATTAAAGCTATTCTAATAAGAATGTAGTGGTATTATATTGTGATTTAGATTTGTATTTCCCTAATAACTAATGCTGCTGGTTGTTTTTTTAATTATTGTTATTACTGTCAGTCATTTACATATCTACAAAACTTTGGGGCTATGTTTTTACACCTTCATGTGTGCACATGCTTCACTCGCCGCCCCCAAACCTCCCATGCCAGGGAGTTACACCCTTCATTCCCCTGCCTTCCTCTCCTCCCTAGCACCCCCCTCTGTAACCAGTACATTTTTTACATTGTCTAAGAATCACTTTTGCTGTGCTCTGCCAGTACATGTTCTTTGGATTTTCATATTCCCTAAATAAGCGAAACCATTGGTCTCCACCTTTCACTTTCTGACTTACTTCACTTAGCATCATCACCTCAAGAGAAATCCATTTTGTCCCAAAAGGCGCTCAGCCATTGTTGGTGAGAGCTGAGTAGTTTTCTATTGAGTGTGTATATCCAGCTGTCCTTGGGCATTTCACTTGGTCCTGTGACTTGGCTGTTGTGGATAATGCTGCTATAAACATAGCAGCATAAATCTTTGATATTCTTCAGGCAAGTACCTTGCTGGATCACATGGTATTTCCATCTTAATTTTTTTGAGATATCTCCTTAACATTTCCCACAGAGGCTGCCTTCCCCTTCTCTGCACACCCTCACCAACATTGATTGTCTCGTTATGTCTGATAGGACCTCTTCTCACAGGGGCATCTATGTTTCAGCCCATGGTCTTCATTTTCACGCTGTCCTTGTTTGGTGTTAGGATCAGGTGGGGTTGGCCTCATAAAATGTGTTAGGGAGCATTCCACCATCTCCAGTTTGGGGGAAGACTTTGGGTAGGAAATGTCCTCTTTGAAGGTTTGGTAGCTTTCATAGACTTCACTAGAGAAACCATCTGGTCCTGGGCCTTTTTACTTAGGAGAGTTTTTGATTACTTTTTCAAATTCTGTGCTTGTGATTGGCCTGTCAAAGTTGTCTATTTCATGCCAGTTCAGTCTGGGAAAGTTGTATTATTCTGAAAA